AGAGAACCCTGAATGTTGCTTTTTGAGGCATTGCAACAGGGAAGCTGAGTGCAGATTTCCTGGGTGGGATACTCTTAACCACATCTAGCTGTCTTGCATGTTCAAACTTGGATGTACCAAAAAGGAAAAGGACCATAGAAGTGCTCCTAGACTGAGGCCTTTGCCTGGATGTGGAAGCTTAAACTTCCTCCTGAAACCAGAATTGTCCTTCCTCTGAGGGCAACGTCAGCTCCTGCTGGAATCAAGATATCCTAACCATTCTGGCTGATTCCCTGAGGAATAAGAACACTGTATTTGATGTAGACCAGAATTCATGCTGAAACAGACCACTGTGTAGTGTGGAAAAGTAGATTATTGTATGATAAAGTTTTTTAAGGAAAAAAACCCCCACACCCCCCTAAAAAACCCACTAAGACAAAACAAAAAAATGACACAGACACTTTTGTTCCCCTGTGTACCAGCAGGTGTGGTCCACAGGGAAAAAAATCCCTTTTATTCTGATGCACTAGGTTTTGTGCCAAGCAGTGGGGTATTTTTTAGCTGCAAGTTTAGCACCAGCATCAAGCTTAACAGCAGGGAGAACAACACAGCATGCCACAAAGTCACTCGAGAGCCAAATCACACCATCTGATAGATCTGTAAGAGCCCTTGGCCCGAAGAAGTACTAAAGACCTACTGGTAGGTTGCAAGTAGTTTAGCAAAACTAGCTAATACTCATTTAACATCCAAGGGCATACACTGAACACACAGATGGACATGACACACTGAAATCTCACAGACAGGTCAATATTATTCCCTGAAGATGTGCTGTCTAGGACAAAAGTTGTCACTGTAGGAAATGTAATGTACTGTGTTGACTCTGAATTATTTATGCTGTATGTTAATTAAGTAATTTTATCATTACTTAAATGTATCCAATTGCATCGTGTGTCACCAGTTAGACATTTAATACTTACAAGAGCTTTCAGAAATACCTAAATGTTTGTTTAGAGACTTAGACACCTAACATTTATGTCGCACATGCAACTAACAGAAGGGATAATAATTTTTTGATAATAACAACGGCTCTTTCTTTGTCAATCAGACCAGACATTTCATCATAGAAGTTAATAAACTTTAGTCTTTGTCTAATGAAAACAGATTAGTCAAAAAGCGCTTGCAGGCAGACATAGTTTTTTCTGAATTAAGTCTTCAAGAGCAATGTGTGGAAGTAGCATCACAGATAATGGAGATGATCAGAAAATCTGCAGAAATAGAATTTCATAGAATATTGTGTCTAATGTTTGACTGCATCCAGTATTTTTTGTCTTGTTGAATGGATATTAATGCATTGTAGAGGACAGAGAGTGCACAGTGTGCACTGCCTAGATGAGTTAATGATTTAAGCCATACACTTAGCAATATTTACACATTTTGACAGCTCATTTTTTTCTGTTTGAAGACTGCACTAACATATTTTTTTATCCAGGAGTTTAAAATACTCCATTTTGGAGTGACTCCTTCCTTTCTGAGGTTTCTGTAAGGATCCTGCTTGGACAGTTGGTGCTTCTCCTCCTTTCCCATCCTCCTGCCTCTGTTATCTGAGGGACCATAAGATTTTGACACAGGAGGCACCACCATCCATGAGGTGCTACATCAAAACTTGAGGCACTAAGGCAGGTTACAGGTAGCAGTTCAGGACTCTGAAAGTTGCTGTCAGTTTTGTACAAAGCATGGAAAAAAGGTGACATTGCAAATGGTCCTCACTGGTGACAAAAGGAACAGATGAAAGCTTACTGTTGAAACAGAGCCTTTCTGGAATAATTGCTTTGCACAGGTTTGTGTGGAAGTTAAAATATTTGAAATCACCCACAAGGGAAGAATTTGTTTTGCAAAAGGTAGCCATCTAGAAACTAGCCATTAGTGACCTGTTTAACAAGGTCACTAATTAAATGTGTTAATAGGGAATTTGACAATACCCTTTGCACTCCATTTGCACTATGATTCTTTGAGACTGCAGTAAGGTGTATTCTTCTCCACCAGACCTAACTCATAATCTGATTTGGACAACAGCATCAGGTATTTTCTTATGCTTTCCTAATTTATTCATGTCTTGGGTCAAATAGAGTCCCTGTGGCCTCATTAACACATCTAATTTGCACATCACCCTCCCACTGGGAGATAGCCTTACCCAGTCTGTGATTAGAGCTAATGAGAGAAAGCAACTTGGGACTTCATTACAGTCACTGTGCCAGACAAGGCTGTCTGTAAATAGAATGCAAGGAGGCTCTTTGGGAAAGTGCCACCTTTAGGTAAGAGGACATCACAGGAAAAAGGTATTTCTGAAATTTTCTGAGTTGGGCTATGCACAAAGCTGGCTTATATTGTAGTGTATTAAGAACAAAGAAGACACCCTTCTAGGGGTAGGTGAAGCATACCAGCAATCTGTATGTGGAAACACCTTCTTCTGCAGAGAATAAATAATGGTGACACCTTGGCTAGACTGCCTTGCTCAGAGAGTTTTTCATCTGTATACTGAAAATTTCTTTTACTATTTCCCCTTACACTAAATAGATTATGGTGGTCTTACGCAGCCACAATGTTTTGATGCCCTCTCTACCGGTTTTGGCTGGGAAAGGGTTAATTTTCTTTTTAGTAGTTTGTGTGGTGTTGTGATGACAGCAGTTGTGATTTGTAATGAAAGCAGTGTTGATAATTCATACACAGTCCTCATTTAAGCTAAAACTGCGCAGGGCTTACACAATATCAAAGCCTTCTCTTTGAGTAGCCTTGGGGTGCAAAACAGATTGAGAAGGGACATCTGAACCCAGCTGAGATACTCCGCACTATAAGATGAGCTCAGCAACAAAAACCTTGGGGGAAGAAGGAGGAACTGGGGTGTTGGGAGTTACAGTGTTTTTTCCCCAAATAAGCATTATATGAGGTGGAGCCCTGCTTTCCTCGAAATGACTGAAGATCTGCTTTGTGGGTGGGAAGTAGTGATAAATTCCTTAATTTGCTTTACTTGCATGCATGGCTTTTTCTCTGCCTATTAGACTGTCTTTATCAGCAATTTTTCTCACTTCAGGAATGTGGCTCTGGTTTCTATGGATTTATTAAGAAATAGCTTTGCAGTAGGGTCCAGGCACTGTCTGCAGGGACATGCTCTATTTGAGCTACAGTCTGTCCTGCAAGCAAGTTGGGATCCTACTCATTCATAAACTCCTCCTGCAACCAGAAAACAATGTCTGAGAGATACCACAACAAGTTATGAAAAGAAAATTACCAACTGTAAGCTCTGGTACAGCTGGAATTGTCTGGAAACACAGTAATATTTACAGATTTTCAGGGAGATAGGGTTATAAGGAAGAAAGGGAAAGAAACAGCTTCATTAACTTCTTGAAGGGACTGCATTAACTTGTGTTGATCTTACTAAATATACTTTAAAATGCCTTAGATTGCATTTGTCATAGAGGATCTATCTTTCCTTCAATCTAAATTATGACCAGACAAAAGGAGGTATCACATGGCAGCCCTTCTGAAATTGTTACTTCAAGAGAGATCAAAGTGTCCAAGTGATCACACATTTTATTTCAGAAAGTAACACTGTGAGGGTGAGAATGTTAACTACAACAGGGCCAGACTCTCTGGAAATGAAGGAAGAAAATAATTACCCATTATTTATCAAAAGAGATTTTTAAAAATTTTATCTTGATTTATTTTTGTGAGATTAAGTATTAAAGTAGTCATATTGTCATTAGTAAGGATCCATAGTAGAAGTGCTGATGTGGTGTACATTTCATTGTTCTTTCTTATGTCATTTTTAGGAGGGCAAACTTTACAAGATGGCAATGAAACAGTAATATACACAATTTCAGATCCTTATACTTTGCTCTGCTGAAATGTATCATCAATCAACTTTTAATCTTTTCATCATAGAGTGCTTCAGTACTCCATAAAGCCCACAAAACAAAGACAAGATACAGATATGATGCACATTTACAAGGAACACAAATGGAGGACATACTGCTGAGTATAGTTCTTACTTTAGTACAGTCATCAATTTCTTTCCATGGTCTCTTCTCAGCTACTGATCATTTCCTGCCCACTCCCAGTGCTGTTCCTTCATGATTCAGCTGAGTTCAGCCACAGGATATCTTCACAATTCTCTATATGCTTTCCTTGAAAGCTCTTACAGCATTGGCATGAGACAAAATAACATGTCCAAGCTAAAAAAAAAGGTCTTTAAGATGCAACATAGCAAATAATGTTTTACATCTAAACAATCACTAGATAGACATAATTTTCTGGCATTCTTGGGTGCAATGCAACTTTTTTTGCAATTGCTTTTCACTTCAAACTTCATATTTTTTTCTTGTCTTTGATCTTGTTAAACATGCTTTGATCTCATTAAGCAGCAAAGCCTTTAAGTGGCAAACTCATAAGTGACAAGTACTTGTTGAAATGGAAACAGAAAGAGCAGCACCTTTCTCTGTCTCACCTTCACTCCATGGAGTGTGTGGGTATGGCTGGTTATTGACCTGTTTTGGGCTCTGCACACATATGGAAGGGGAAGGACAAAACTTAGGGAGCTTTGGGTTATTAGCCAAAGATGCCAAGAAATCCAAAGGAAAAGGTTTCTCCGCTCTTTCTACAGAAGAACCCAAATGAACACAAATATTATAATATAAACATACCTTATTTAAGAAATTAATCTGTTGTGTCAGACAATTTTTTTAATTATGAATGTCAGGGATATAAACTGCTGTAAGTTTTTTTAAATGGAACTCGTGCTCTTTTGTGCATTGCAAATAAATAGATATAATCAAAACACCACCAAAAAAACCCAATCTGTAATGAAAGAATATGTAAAGCACAATGGTTGCTTATCTGCTTGAACTATATTTGGTAAATAGGCAAATAAATTTTGGAAGGAATTTCCTTCCTTCACAGCTCTTACATCTGGGAGTTCAGCCTCCACGCAAAACTTCAAAGCCATGAATTCAACCATTTAAAACACATTAGTCTGAGAACAAATGAGTCCTGGAAGAGTCCTGTTGAAAAACTTTTCCTAACAGAATAATCTTCAATGCCCTGCGAAACCACAAGTAAAAAAATGCATAAACAACTGGGTTAAGTGTAGAATTTAAATAGCCAAACCAAACCAAAGCATCAATGAGAACAGGAGGAATCACATAATTCATAAATGGATTGGTAGCTGTAAAGAAGAAGAATGGAGTCCAGCAGATGAGAAACACTCCCATTATGATGCCTAAAGTCTTAGCAGCTTTCCTTTCTCTGCAGAATGAAATGTGGTGCTTCATTTCAAATTGCATTTTTTTTCTGCTAATTGTATTGATGGATCTTGCCTGCTTCTTGGCTACAGAGTATATTTTCCTATAGATGCACAGCATAACAAATCCAGGGATGTAAAAAGACACTATGGAGGCCACAATACCTGAAGTTTCGCTAAAAAGGAGAAAGCATCCTCCTGCACAGTGGACATGATTATAAATCTTTTCTGCCCCTCTCAAATTTAGGTCCAGAAAGATCATCCCAAAAGCAAAAGCAGCAGGGACCATCCAGCTTGTACACACCATGACCACGATGACAGAAGTATTTATCTTTGATTTGTATCTTAAAGGGTCACACACAGCATAGTAACGGTCGATGGATATGAAGGAAAGATGGAAGATAGAAGCTGTGCTCAGCATAATGTCCGTGCTTGAGTGGATCTTGCAGAAGAACTCCCCAAAATACCAGCAGTGCTCAACAGAGCGCACCATGCTGCAAGGCATGACGAAGAATCCCAGCAGGAAGTCTACCGTAGCCATTGAAAGTATCAGGAAATTTGTAGGCGTGTGGAGCTGCTTGAAATGTGATATTGAGATGATAACTGTCAGATTCCCAACCACTGTGGCCAGAATAATACAAACCATGAAGATGTACATGGAAATACGGATGCTGTTTGACCAGCTGCTCCTTATGCAGGAGCCATTTATGGATTCACAGCACAATTGCATCCTTACTGGGGTCTCAAATCCGTGTAGCTATGTAGCAGAGGTACTGTTTTTCCCAATTCTAAGGGATGTTTACAACTGATTTTCTACTTTCTAGATGGGAAGAGCTGCAGAGAGGGGAAAAAAAGGGCATTGTAAACATCTTCATTTAGTTGGATATGCAGGAAATTCACATATCATTAGTTATGAAGGATAAAAATATTTTATAATTACATTTAGCAGAATGACACTTTTATCATCTGACTTCCCTGGAAATGGGAATCTCCTTTGATAAAATAAACTGCATAATGACTTGTCCTCACACCAGGACAGCAGTGACTCTGAGGGGCCTGCACTGGGCAATGCCTTGTCCAGTGGGCAGATGAGAAGCCCTTTTCAATATTTCCTGTTTCTGTTTTCAGTCCTAGTCTTCTTCATCAATATTAGCTGGAGTATTGTATCTCCCCTTTGCTCTTGAAAATCAGTAATTTTAAATTCTGAAGCTCCCTCAACTTCTTTTTGGATACAGAAGTCTAAAACCTACAAGTCTAAAACAGAAGATGAGGAGTCCATGTGTGACCTCTCCTCCAGCCCTGCCCTGATAGTGGTGACTGGACAGATCAAGTTTTACTGGAAAATCGTTGCAGGCTCTAGCTGTAAGTAGAGATGCAAGCAAAAGATCTCAGAAAAGAAAAAAACTTTTCTACCCTTTTGCTGACAAAATAGAATGGAAGAATCTGACTAATCTAAAACATTATCTGCTGTATAAGCAAATGGTTTTTTTTCTGTTGATCTCTAGTTTTTTTCAGTGCTAGGAGTTTAGCACTACTATGATTATTGATTATATTAATCTGTTTTTTAGCTAAGGCACAAACATGGAGAGAAGCATTTTCAGAACATAGGTTTAGTTTGCATCCACGGACACAAACATCACTGTCCTCTTGTGTCGGCAGTAGCATGTCCCTTTTGCAAATCATTCTTCTTATGAAAACTTTTAATGAAAGTACTTAAGCACTTGGCAAGCAATATTTTTTTTGAAAAATCTGTCTTTCTTTTAAATAATATAAAGATAGTGTTATTGTGAAAAGTAGAGATCATTAGCATATGTTGTTCAGTAGCACTATCATTATGGTATAAAATGGTTGTCAGAAAAATACTGACATGGCAATTCAGCCAATACTGATTTTCACCACTTGCTTTGGGATTTAGTTGCTGCTGGTTATTCTGGATAGAACATAATAAAAAAAAATTATTTCCCATATTAAACCAAATGTTATTAAAAGAACACCAGGGCACTGGAAATGGAATGAACATAGGCAAAAAACAACAGCTAGCAAGAGCTTGACAGCTACAGCTAGCAAACAGCCTGTGTTATACAGAGGGATTTTGCAAGTAGGGCCAGGCAGTGGCACCCAAGTGCCAGGGATAAGGTTCACCCAAAGTCACTCTCAGGAATGGGGAACATATGGAATGTGAGTATATTTATGTACTGTTTGGGGTGTTTTTCATTTCCCCTTTTTTCTGCCTACTAATATTTAACACCATCTCTGCTCTTTTTCACCTCAATTTAATTATCACTTCATATACCTTTTCCTTCCATTTTTGTCAGTCTCTTCATGTTTCTTTTCCTGCCTGTCATTCCTTCTTTCAGCACATTTACACCCAAAGTCAGATGAATATTTATTAACTCAAATTTTCCATTTTCACAGTAGAAAGAATTAAACATCAATTTAACTGTATCTACTGGGCATCATTGTAAAGGCTTTAAGCCCAATAAGATTGTAAGTGTGTCACACAGATTTTGAACTTCATTTGTTCTGTATAAAAGTACAAATAAATTAAATTAAATTATTTCGGTAAAACATTCTATGAAGCCAATCAAAAATAATTAACATATTTTCTCTAGTTTTCCTTTAAGATTTACAAGATTGACAATTTCTTTGTTTTCTGATAGATAAACTTTTTAGCCTAAAGAAATATTATCTGCCCTGAAAACAAGTTTTCTTAAACCAAAAAAAAAACCAAACAAAAACCAAAACAGGGATTTTTTTTAAATTTCTTTTTTTAATAAAAGAAAGTAGAAACTCCAGCCAAAGGATGGAGAAAACTGAGGTCAAGTGTGTGGCTTTGCACTACACAGAAACTAATTAAATCAAAATACATGTGGCAAACTGTTCAAGTGAGGTCAACTCTGAAGAAGTTTTCAAGAAGAAAGCAGAATTCTTTCCTTCCATATATAGTCACAAAGGTTAAAATGTAATAAAATGGAAATAGGAAGATGCATACTCTTAAAAACCTCTTCTCTTACCTTTGTCACTTCATGCTGGATAGAAGTCTGCTTTGTTTTCTGCTGGTTGAGCGTCACTTCTTCCTTTTAAAGACCATCTCAGAAGGCAGCTGATCCTCTTCACCACCACTACAGTTCTGGTAACACAAATTTTGAGGGAACAGGCTTATAATCCACAGCTGAAGGAGCCTGGAGAAACCCCTGTGTGTTACTGGGACTTGCTGGTGTGATGAGCAGCATTCTGGGCCATTTGACTCAGTAGCAGCTGTTGATGTGAACAGTAGCTCAAACTGTTTATTTTGTCACCCACGTAGAGAACAAAATTGTGGCTCTAGCTCTCATACTGGTTTAATGGGCCTTATTTATGGGTAAATTGAATATTTGAAGTATGTTTAGGTGTTTGATTAAGTGTTACGGTCATATTGTGAGTGGCCCAGTATTATCTAAGGATAGAACAAAAGACACCATGTAGTCTACCTCATGTAAGCTTTTAAAATATAGCAAAATACATAAGTATAGATTGGTTACAGAAGCATGTAAGATTTCCTTGAAAAGGTATAATGTAGACAGAGTGACACGTTGTGCATCTACCAGCCCAGCTATGATTACTGAACAAACAGGTTTAATCTATCAGCTCACCAGCTAACAGCTATTTGCAAGATACAACTATTGAAAATGTGTTTTAAGTAAACACCTTCTATTGGCTGTACCAGAGTCACAGATGAGAAGCATCAATTTTTTGCTCCACAAAGGACCATGCAGCCTTTTAAAACAGTGATACTGCTGAATGTAAAAACGTGTTATTGAGATGACCATCATCTAAAGCCCAGCTAAGCTGGGTGCCTCAAGGGCATATACAAGGTGGGTTAAGATACTGCTTCTTGCAAATTCTTTTCATAACCTGGGTTAGCTACCTTATTATGTTATGTGCACAAAAATCAAAATGGGTACATACAACTCAGTTTTTTTGTTTGGTTTTTTTTTGAGGCTGCTCTCATATAAAGACTAAAATTTTGCACTACAAGGTTCTCTTTGCTATAAAAAGCGAGCTTGACAACTAAAAAAAATGCAGAAACAATGATCAGGCTGAGAGAGAAATCACTGGAGAGTGTTGAGAGGATATGTTGAGGAGAGGAGTCAGGTCCAATTCTTCAGAGCTGGGTATGGTGTTTGTGAGGTCCCCAGGACGCAGTGAGAGATGAGAATCTGACTAAGTTCTCAGAAGGCTGATTTATTATTTTATGATATTTTGTTATGCTAAAGAATGCTATATTAAAACTATACTAAAGAAAGATAAAGGATACATCATAAGGCTTCACAAGAATGATAAAGAAAAACCCGTGACTCTTCAGAGCCTCAACACAGCTGGACCATGATTGGTCATTAAGAAAAAACAATTCACATGGAACCAATCAAACATTCACCTGTTGGTAAACAATGTCCAAGCCACATTCCAAAGCAGCAAACACAGGAGCAGCAATCAGATAATTATTGTTTTCATTCCTCTCTGAGGCTTCTTAGCTTCCCAGGAAAAAATCCTGGGCAAAGAGGATTTTTCAGAAAATATCGTGGTGACAGCTGGGGACAAGTAAAAAAGACATATTAGGTCCCAAATACTGGTCTGTGAAAGAGACCTTCATCCTTCTGAGATGCTCTGTGCTGCCTCAGAACCAGGCACTTCTCTTTGAGGAGTGAAGGTTTGGGCCTTGGTCACTACTGTCTTGCCACATATGCATTTTATAGGAAGGTAAAATTTAGAGGAACAAACCCATTTTACATGACTCTGTACAGCTCGTTATCCTAAAGAAGTCTGGCAGCCAGCTCATTCTGGACACTCAGTCCAAGGCCATCCATGCATGCACACAGGGCTCTCCCACCATGCTCTCTGCCTTGAGTAGCACAGGGACAAAACTCAAGGGCATTTTCTGGAATGGCAGCTCCGTTTCAAGTGTTTTTTCCAGAGGCAGCTCCCTGGCAGCAGCCTACAAACCTCTGGGGGAACTCCTGGGGCTGGGGAGCCTTCCCCTGCCCTGAGCAGGCGTGCCCTGCTGCAGAGGGGCAGGCAGCAGCCAGCCATGGAGGGTTGTCACCATGACATTTTCTGAAAAATCCCTTCACCAGGATTTTTCTCCTGAGAAGCTGAGAAGCCTCAGAAAAGAAATGTAAACAATAGTTATCTGATTGCTTGGAATGTGGTCTGGAGGCTGCTTACCAACAGGTGCATCTTTGATTGGTTCCATGTGAATTGTTTTTATGTAATGACCAATCCCAGTCCAGCTGTGTCAGACTCTGTGGTCAGTCACGGGTTTTTATTATTCATTCTTGTCCAGCCTTCTGATGTCTCCTTTCTCTTTCTTTAGTAGAGTTTTAGTGTATAATTTCTTTTAATATAATATAATATCATAAAATAATAAATCAGTTTTCTGAGAACTTGGAGTCAATTCTGATCTCTCACCTCGTCCTGGGGACCCTCACAACATCATAACAATTGGTGACCCCAGGTGAGTGATACCGCAACAGAGGGTGGGTTTTGCTTTGCTTCCTCCTGTGCCCAGGCTGTGTGTCTGGTCAGGGAGCCCTTCCCTCCATCTCCTGGCTTGCAATAAAATTGCACTGCAAGACCCACACACCTCAGAAAGGAGTGAACCACACATCTAGGGGGAGCTGTGAGCATGGGAACAGCAATATTTAATGGTGTGTTGGCTGAAATGAACGTAAAGCAGGAGGTTTTGGTGTA